CCTGCGCGTGAGTGGCCCCGCCCCCGGGGCGCCCGGGAGCCTCTAAAGGTTGGGGACCACTGCCCTAAAGCCTCACTCAACCTCTCATACCCTCCCCAGCAACGTTCCCGCTAATCTTTTCCAATCACGTGTGGAGTAATTTTTTTAATGTGCACAGAGACATGTGTAAATGTGCACCACAAACAGAAACAAAACCTAGCTGGGGGCTCCTGTTCATCAGCTGGGGACCATTAGATTTTCTCCTGAGCCACCACACAAGTGCACAGCTTACAGGGAACACTGCTCCTTAGCCACACTCATTTCCTGTGCCACCCCATTCCCTAACGGCCTCAAAGACATCTCTCCCATGGTCCCAGCTGCCCTCCCTCCCATCCCCCATGTCTATGCAGAGCACTGCTAGTGACTCAGCATGATTGCTCCAGTTCACAGAAGCAGCTATCACGCTATAGCTCCGTCACTTAACCTCCGTACAACTCACCTGTTATCCTGAATATAAACATTAACACACGTTTAAAAGTGGCCCACGCCCAAGAGGTCATTAAGTAGCTCAAGATGAATGTGTAGGTTACTGGTGTTAAACTACAGGAACTTAACGTACCATAAGGAACACAGCGATTATTTTGAGAGGAGCAGTTTTATATGCTTCATCTGCAAATGTTGTCACAGATTTTACAAAGCACATTACACAGAACACTCTCTCTGAAGCTATCGAATTATTTGGTTGGTCAATTGTCTGCAAAACAAAGGTATTTTTAGTTCTGCTTTAACTGCAAGGCTCCATGCAGAATTAACTATGGAATTATTACTGCTGCTTCCATAATTTAGAGACTTGTAAGAGGGGGACATTTTGGAGTTTTGATACACAATTTGGGCAATGGTAGAACCAGGAAAAGAAGATGCTTTTCTTCAGTCACAAAAGTCAGCTTCAACCCCTGACTGACTCTTAATTTGCTATGTTTCCCCCATTGTAAACGGATGGTAAAGTTTTAAATGGGCCATTGCTATCATGCGTTGCCAATCATTACTAATAGAGACAAACCACATTTATGTCTTCCACGAAGCAGGCATTTTGGGGCCACTGAGTTGAAAAAAGGCCATGACATCGGTGATTTGGAAAAATTAGGGTCATCTAAGGTTAACTGCTCCATTTGAGACTTTAGTCTAGAAGATATACCTAAGTTCTGCATGTGCATGTTGTGAGAGTGGAGAGGAAGATGAGTCTCTGTGAAGATTAGTTTTGGATGTTTCAGTGACAAATACCTCTTTTCAATCGACCAGTTAAATGCATCCCAGAACTGAGACGGATTAATAGACAAGCAACAAACAAGAGTGGAAGTGGGCACCAGATAGGAAAATAATAATGCCATATTTTTAAAATGTATTACTTAAAAGGGACACTGTGAAGGTTGGAAGGTTCAAATCTTTACTTTAATTCTATATTACAGTTTCTCTTAAGTCCTTCAATGCTTCTTCTAGTTACTCTAGTATATCTAGTGACTCATATTAATGCCAATAAACCCATTTACAATCATGGGATGGAATAACGTGCCCACACACTGATCAGTACACGAGCATAATGGGGAACACACGCATTTCAGGTTAAAAAAAAAAAAATTGAGAGATGAAAATGCAATATGGATGATAAACATATTTTACAGTGTCCTTTTTAAGAAGAAAGTTAAGGTGAAAAATAACGTGATTAGCAACTATGACTAATAAAAGCAGCATGCTGTATAAATTGAAGTTTTTTTTACCTTCGGAATCGTCTGTCAAGGTAGACAAAAGAGGGAAAAAGAAGAGAAAGGTTCACAAGTAAAACAGTTTTCCATGTAGTACTGCAGAACAAATAATGGGAGTCCAAAGGCAGCCATCTTGGAATTCTGCCACCATTATTACTTTATTATGGAACTGCCAGAACAAGACAACTTGGTACTCCTGTACTACTTCTGATCACACGTATGTGCCAATAATTCTCCTTTGAGGGGTATTGTTATGGTCATTACCCAAAAAACTCTGTGCACCAGCGCTGCCTATTTGTTCAATAACTCCAGATTAAACATTCGATTTTACTAGAGCTGCTTGCACCTTCAATAAAGGAGAGCGCATGAGAAGAGGCAACTGAATGAACTTGTGGAGATGGGAGTCAGAAAGAGCAGGAATTGACAAGGGGGGAATTTGAAGCAAAATTCCCACATATGACATTAGTTCCTTTAAGCGTTTCAAGCTGCAAGTCTCATTCAGCAACACAAGGGAAGACACAACAAATTCAAGAAACATGCTCAAGCACATTTCTATTTCTGCCAATATCTTGATGTGACATTAAGTCACATGTATTGGTCAACTAGGGATGAAACAGTGTAGCCATTTAAACGGTTAACTGAAAAGCATGAGCCCATCATTTACCATAATGGTTATACATCTGCTCCTGGCCCTGCTCCTGGGGAGCTGGCTGCCACCCTGCACTGCTCGCCCTGTATCATGAAGTTTATACTGCAGAGCCTGCAACATGTAACCACAACACTTTTTTAAAACGATTACACGGTTACCTAATTAACCACTTTCTAACATCCCTATGGTCAACCTACATCTATCTTCCATCAAGGTCTCTCTACTGGTATACATTACTCAAACTTTTGAAGACCTTGTGGGCTGCCACCCTGCACTGCTCGCCCTGTATCATGAAGTTTATACTGCAGAGCCTGCAACATGTAACCACAACACTTTTTTAAAACGATTACACGGTTACCTAATTAACCACTTTCTAACATCCCTATGGTCAACCTACATCTATCTTCCATCAAGGTCTCTCTACTGGTATACATTACTCAAACTTTTGAAGACCTTGTGTACAGAAGTCCTGCCGCAAAGCAGCAGTGCAACATACAATTGAAATCAACATTCAGGTGGTGAGTGCCCTCTGGTTATCTGCATTTATATCTAAGTTTCTCTTTTCCTAAATCTTTTCCACTGATTATGTTTTCTTCATGCTCTGTCCCATTTGCTGATTCAGGGTGATTTTTTTTTGGCATCCCCAAAAGCCAGTATGTGAACTGATGTGCTTAACACTTTTATTTGTAAAACCAACAGTGAGTACGTGAGTGAATCTACAGATCAGACTGTGTAAATTAATAAGATGGTCAAGGACTGGTTTTTGAACGACAGCAGAAGCAGCCGTGTACGCAACTGCCCAAGCCTGTAAAACCAAGGAGAAATCAATCTCCTGGAAAAGTCAATTCAAGTTGTGTTTGGCAACAGCAAAACTGTAGTTTGGTTTACTACATAGCCCGCTCTGGTAATCTGTGACATTAAATTGTGGTGTGCCTTTTTGGCAGAGAGAGCTGTCTACGAATTACTTGGCTGCTGCCAAGAAGTCCAGACCCAATCACTCCATTCCTCTTACCACACACTGGTTGTTAAAGCGCTAACGAAATCTTACTGCGGTGCAGCCTCAGGCATGCTGAAGAAGTGCAGGCCAACATAAGCTCCTCCCCTCTTGTCCGACAGATTATGGCTGCTTTGGCCAAGGCCCTTCACTCTGCCCAACAGCCTGAAGACCTGAGATTTTTACTTGATCAGGTAGCTGTCTTGACTCACTCTGACCAGCCGGCATTTCCCCAGCTGTTATTGATTATAAGGAGTCTTTAATGTGAAGACTAACAAAACATGTAGATGGCATCATGAGCTTTCGTGGGCACAACCCACTGCTTCAGAAGTGGGTTGTGCCCACGAAAGCTCATGATACCATTTACATGTTTTGTTAGTCTTTAAAATGCTACCAGACTATTTGTTGTTTTTTAAGTTTCTCCTGTTACAGACTAACTTGGCTACCCCTCTGAAGCTTTTAATGTGAAGTACACTTTTCCCCAAATCCTAATGATAATGAAATGTTTATGTTTATTTCAGGCTATAGAAGGATCACTTAGCAGTAATCATGTTTCAAGACAATCCATTTTAGCTACAATTCAAGAAAAAGCCATCAACGGCCCACAATGATGAACCAAATATTCTTGTTCTAAATTTGCCTATGTGAAATTTTATCATTTAACACAGAATTAGGAATCCTTTTCACAAAGTTTAATCCTCCTGTTTAATCCATTTCTTACTTTTTTTTCCTTTCTTATAAGCCGTTATAACAAGTAACTAAAAATATCAAGTTTCAAGACTAAATGCACTATATGCCTCCGGTCAGATGTGGAAATACTGGAGTTGAAAGAGATGTTTGTTGGGTTGTTTCATTTATTATTATTATTATTGCTGTTGTTTCCATCCTAAATTTAGAGTCCTTTCCTAACTGGCAATAAACATATATTTACCCTCATGCACAGCTTTTAAGGAATCCATGTTTTCTAAGAAAAAGTCATTGGAACATGAGCAAAAAATAAGCCTATTATTTGATCAGGACCACTCATCTCAATTTGAGTTTTCAGTACAGATATTGAATAATTTGCAAACATAGGTTGAGTCTAGTGTGTCACAATCCTTCTCTGGAACACTGTTGTATTTTAGTACAAAACTACAGACAAAATCCCCACTGAAACAGATACTTATACCAAATAAGTACTTTCAGAAAAGAAATGGATTAAAGAGTTGGATAATTCTACAATGCAAGTTACTGCTGACCAATATTTCTTGTATTCATGCAAATAACTCTAGCGGTACAATCGTAAGAAAGGACCCATAAAAGGAACAGTGTTTAGTAAATTGATACCATTACATTGTCATCATTTGAAATCATTATAGAGTAATCATAAAAGCTGCATTTAACTTCAGGAGATTACTACAATTGTTACTACTGCAGACTTACCTTGCTCCTCCTCTTCTACATCATTCGATACTATATTGTAGAGAGTGTCCAAAGCATAGCCAATTATTTCTGAATCTGAACTGTGAACAGAAATAATACTTTTCTTGAATTACTTATTTCCACTTTTTTTTCTTTATGTTATTGACTTCTTAATGCAGACAGACATATTAGCAGTAACAACCATAGTAAATGGAAAGGGTATGTTGTCACAGGAGTTTTTTTAAATATTGTAACTCTTTACAGTTGTGGAACAGTGTGGTCACTATAGAATTCAAAATCCACTCTCCTACTTTTATTTCACCTGGGGGTAATCACTTCAGAAGTTAAGAGCCAGTACAAAAAAGCTAAGCAACATAACTGCCAATGCACCTTTCTTTTCAGAAGCCATTCCATCTCTTCTGAATATCTCCTAAAAATTAATGCCAAAATAAACTATAAGACTTTGTCAGCACAAACTATTATTTGTTTGACCTTTTTTCAAGCACAAGTTGATGCAGTCATGTTTGCTAATCACTGCAGTTACAGTGAATCTGGATCATGAACACTAGATTAATTCCTTTAGCACATCAGTTAACACAGATATCTCTTAAATATTAGCGTATTTCATGGAGATTGCAAAACTTAAAATCTTGGACATTACGATTTTGTACTACATGCTGGAAACATATTTAGATATAAAATAAAGGGACATTTTTCCAAGGCTATAGGTAACACAACACAAAGTTCCAGAACAGTGATGAGCAACCTAGGCTAGTAAGTGGGCTGCATGAGCTACCTGCCATCTCAGTGGGCTGCAAGATTGTCGTCACCAAGATGGGCTCCCAGGATAAGGTAGCTAGAATTTGCGGGGTGTGCCGACTGAACAGTAGCAGTGGTCTGATTGGATGTAGAGGGAGCGCATGGCTCTCTCAGTCAATGGTGTGTGCAATCAGCATGCACCTCATTTCATGTGCCCTTGCTTTGGGCGTGTTATTTTAGTAATACTGGAAGGAAAAAACCAACACAGACACAAACCAAAGGAGTCGGGCAACTATGCACTTGAGCACCGGTAAGAAAATGTCTTGTGGGCCACACAAAGAATACCGATGGGCTGTATGTGGCCCGCAGCCCATATGTTGCCCGTCACTGTTCTAGAAGCAGAAGAATTTCACCAGGAACTCAGCTAGCCAGAGAGCTGGACTCTTTTTCCTACTTCAAAGTTGTGAGACGCTGACCATCCGCTCTCTCCAAAAACCCCATCAAACACCTGTTGCTTTTGCAGTGTTGCTTGAAAGGTTATGCTATTTCAGACCCAAGTGCAGAGCAAGTCCAGAGCCTCAAAACACTTACATGAACATCCTGACAACAGCCTCTTTTGTAATGGTGATACAGTTTGACTGTCCCCACAGACCACTGCTATGGCAGCATGACACAGGGAAAGGGGCAATCCCTCTGGTAAGACAGTCTCAGGCCATTTAGGGCTTTATCCATCATACTCAACACCTTGAACTCTACTGTGAGTCCAATGGACAACCAGTACAGATCCTAAAGCAACAGTGTCACATGCTACCAGCAATAAGCTTCAGTCTTTGAATGGTTTTATTAAGGTGTAGACCAATATCGGGAGCACTACAATTGTCTAATTTTGAGGAGAGGAAAAAAAAACCACGAGAAATCCTGTGGCACCTTATATACTAACAGATTTATTGGAGCATGAGCTTTCGTGGGCAAAGACCCACTTCGTCAGATGCATGTAGTAGAAATTCCAGAGGCAGGTATAAATAAACTGGCATAAGAAAAGAGTTCCAGTCAAGAGAAAGGTTAGAGATAACGAGCTCAATTCAGTCAGGGAGGAGAAGGCCCCCTTCTAGCAGCTGATGTGGAGGTGTGAAGACCAAGGGAGGAGAAACTGCTTTTGTAGTTGGCTAGCCATTCACAGTCTTTGTTTAATCCTAAAATGATAGTGTCAGATTTGCAGATGAATTGTAGCTCCGCAGTTTCTCTGTGAAGTCTGTTTTTAAAGTTTTTTTTGTTGCAGGATGGCTACTTTTAAATCTGCTACTGTGTGTCCAGGGAGATTGAAGTGCTCTCCTACAGGTTTTTGAACATTACCATTCGTGATATCTGATCTGTGTCTGTTTATTCTTTTACGTAGGGACTGTCCAGTTTGGCCGATGTATATAGCAGAGGGGCATTGCTGGCACATGATGGCATAGATTACATTGTAGATGTGCAGGTGAATGAGCCTGTGATGGTGTGGCTGATGTGGTGAGGTCCTGTGATGGTGTCACTGGTGTAGATATGTGGGCAGAGTTGGCACCGAGGTTTGTTGCAGGGATTGGTTCCTGAGTTGGAGTTACTGTACTGTGGTGTATAGTTGCTCGTGAGAAATTGCTTCAGGTTGGCGGGTTGTCTGTGGACAAGGTCTGGCCTACCTACCAAGGTGTGTGAGTGAGGGATCATTGTCCAGGATGGGTTGTAGATCACTGATGATGTGTTGGAGAGGTTTTAACTGGGGACTGTAGGTGATGGCCAGTGGTGGGGTTATTTTCTTTGCTGGGTCTGTCTTGTAGCAGGAGACTTCTGGGTACATGTCTGGCTCTGTCAATCTGTTTCCTCACTTCCTCAGGTGGGTATTGTAGCTTCGGAAATGTTTGGTGAAGATCTTGTAGGTGTTTGTCTCTGTCTGAGGAGTTGGAGCAAATGCAGTTGTACCTTAGTGCTTGGCTGTAGACAATGGATCGTGAGGTGTGTCCAGGACGGAAGCTGGAGGCATGTAGGTAGGCATAGCAGTCAGTAGGTTTTCAGTATAGGGTGATGTTTATGTGACCATCACTTATTTGCACTGTAGTGTCCAGGAAGTGGATCTCCTGTGTAGACCGGTCATGCTCCAATAAATCTGTTAGTTTACAAGGTGCCACAGGACTTCTCGTTGTTTTTGCAGATTCAGACTAACACGGCTACCCCTCTGATACTAGCCTAATTTTGAGGAAACAAAATCACAGGTAACAATAGCCAGGGACACATAAGAAAGTAAAGGCAGAAATCTTCTACCAGACATGGAGGGTAAGAAGCTCATTGCTAAACAACAGCAACAAGGCTTAAAATAAGCCCACTAATTATGGACCAAGTAATCACTGGTGGACACTGTCTTGTCTGGATTGACCCTCAGAAGCTCGCTTTCATCCATGTCCTAATCTCACGTAGGCATTGGCTGAAGTGTTGAATTGCATTGTGCACCACAAGTGAAACAGACACAGTAAGTGTCATCATCTTACTGAGAACACTGCATGTCCATGTCCTTTCACTAACCCTTAAAAAGGCCCCTTCTGGTGACTGGAAAAGAGAGGTGACCCAATGGCACTCAGGGGGACCCCCCCTCTTCAGAGTTCTTTGGAAAGAGGAGCAAATTTAAACTATCTGCTCATGTAAAACTAAAGGGATTTTAAAAAAAATAAAGTGAATTTTCACCATTTGTGGCTGAAATTCTGCTTTGCCTTCAGCTTCCATAGTGAAAACAGAATAGCCAGTTCTGCTCTGCTGATAGGCAACATCCGATCAGTTTCACTTTCAGATTGCCAGATGGGTGCTCATGTGTAGATTGCAGACCAAGCAAAGAACATTATACCAACCGATTGCTATGGCCATTGAAGTAAAAAAATGGAAACATTTACTGGTATTGGTTTTGGTAAATGTCTGGCTTGACAGATCTTAAGTGTTGACTGGACAGTGTCACTGCATTCTAGGACAGCAGCCACACCAGTAGGGCCAGCAGAGTCTTGCTCACCACTACTCGTTTCCTAGCCCTGTACAATATGTTTCTGCAGGGAAGCTGCCAACCCTCAGAGACAATATCTCATCCCTAGCACATTTGTTAGCATAAATATACTTGATTATTTAATCTAATAATATCACTAAATCTGATTTGTTAGTCACCCAAACCTGACTCATTTTACATATTTTAAAATTAACAAATATGTAATTGGACAGGAAAGTTGCTAATAAAACTTAGCATTTTGTTCACATTAATTAGAGATCTAAAAAAAAACCCAACAGGGTATGGTTTCAGGAAAATTGCAGATTTTAGTTCATTTTTAGATGTCAGAATGTTCTTACCGGTCTGTCTGGAGAACATGGATAAGATGTTCCATAGCCTGAAACCCCACTTCCAGGCGATATTTCTATCCAGAAAATAAAAGAGTAAGAGGAGTATTAAAATGAAATTAAAAATATTGTGCAAACTGCAAATAGTACTTCTAAACAGAGAGCTACAAAAAGAACTGTATACATTTATAGCGCTATAGAAAGCAACACCACCACGTACCTTTGATAATGATTTAAGAGCACGTACAGCATCCCTTCGATCATCCAATAAAGTAGATGAAGCTACACGGTCACAGAGTTTCTGAATCTATAAAAACAAATAGTTGCATCAAAAGAGATTCAGTAACAGTAATTGTACAGGAAACACAAGATCCTCCAAAGCCATCAGCTCAAAAAACGGACGTGAAACCTTAGATGGCAAATTATTGCAGATCAGACTCCTTGGAAAACAGAATATAGTGACTGAAACAAAAATGTAGAGTGAGACCAAGCGTGAACTCAAAGTTCACCAAGAAGCAAAGTCAGAACCAGTAAAGATTTCTAACAGAACATTTCATTTTAGAAACTCTGCTGAACATGCCAGTTCCTTCTACCCCATTGCACTTGAATCTTCACATACAGGTGAACAATAAATTAACTCCCAACCAGGCTAAAAATTACCTTTAGTGACCACTAACCAGCATTCAGCCTTCCCTAAAGCCAGTCTCTGTACACCAGGAGCCTCTGTGATGTTCTAGATCTCAGCACATGCACAGAGAGAAGTAGCTGCAGAGGTGATGCAGTTGAACCTCTCTAGCCCAGAACTCTCTGGCCCAGAAACATCCGTCACCCGGAATGATTTTAGTTTCTGGATGTCCACTTTTCATTGGTGTGGCCAAGTTGCTTGTGGTCCCATAAAGTTGGTTTACAGTCATCAGACCTAGCTGTCAGTGTTCTGTGCTGTTATTTAGCTCTAATGTACTCCCAAATGTCCTCTAACAGCCCACTAAGCAGTGGCAGTGTGGCAATGCTGCTAGACAATATCGACCTTCCATGGTCTGGAAGATTCTCTGGTTTAGCACCAGTCAGGTTCTGAGGATGCTGGACTAGAGAAGTTCAACCTGTGTTTTGTTACAGAATACAGAAAGCTCTCATTGGATTGTTGGCCTTGTTCGTGTAGTGACTTTTTGCACCAGGGCTGATACAGTGTATAGAGCAAAGTATTTTCACTGCTGCAATTATATTTATGTAGGCACACTTGCACAAAAACCAACAACCATAAACCTGATCATCCGCTCATGGTGTAAAGCAAAGATATGCCTATTTTATAAACACATGGGAGAGCTTGACTCTCCTTTCAATCAGATATTGTGATGGACTTGTACAACTTTAGCAAAAGTCTTGTTATTTAAGAGGGAACAAGACAGTAGTACGCTCATCCAGCCCCAGTGACATTATGGTTGGTACTTTTCCCTTAGTAACTAAGAACCATCCTCTTTTTTTAGTCAGGCAAGAATTATTATGGTACTGTGATCTTCATAACCAGCCAGAATATATGTACCCAGCCAAGCACCCACAGAACTCTTGTAAGCAGCGCTGGCTACAAATCACACAAAGGTACTTGTCCCACATTCAATCCTGTACCCACCCTAATTTTTCCATGTAAACCATCTCTTAGTTCGCTCTCTCTCTCTGAGCCATTGCAGAGGGAAGGTTAACAGAGCTTTGTGGAGAACAAGCATTACTCTGGTCAGTAAGTTCTTCCCTCTTGGATTAGCTTGCGTCACAAAATCCTGCTTTGGCTCACTAAGCGAGCTGAAGAACCTGCTTGGCTGGATACTGATGGAAGCTTTGCTTCCCCACAATCCAAGTCTCATCTCAGTGCATTATCCAGAGAATAGCAATTCATGACGGTGCTGATGGAACTCAGTACATTGATTATTCAGACCGTGGATAAGTGCATGTATGAAATACATGCATCTAAAGCTGCCGCTCTTGGCTGACTAGATCCTTACACATTCAGAGACAGACTTTAGCTAGAAGAGGTCGAGCAAGAAGCCCTTTTCACAGTCACAGCAGACCAACACAGCTGCCATGTAAACCTCAAATGTACGTAGGACAACTTTTAGTCCCTGAAAGTAAGTGACATTTAAAGTAAAGAACAAGATACCAGATCAAAACTTTTGTGCTGGATGAATTGCTGGCATTTAAACTGAGTTTATGTAATATATTTCTGATTTAAGTTGGCAAGGAATTACCTTCAGTAAAATGAACAAACGATATATCTAAAATGTATGAGTGTCCTGAAAGGGGCAGTGCTACACTGGTTCAAATCTGTGATAAGACAAAGGCTTACGGGAGCTTTTAAAACCCTCTTTGTGTGTCAATACAGCAATAAAGGACACAAGTCCAATGGGCTGATTGTTTTTTCAATGCATCCTTTGGAAGCCAACTTTTAAGAAACAATTTTTCTCTTCAGAAAAGTGCTCAGAGTCTGAGATTTAAAACTAACAAGCTCTATCTACGGAGTGTTTACATAAGAAAAGTGTGGGGATTTGAGCTTTTTTGACCTAGAGGTGAATTGAAAACATCAATTGCCAGATTACAATAAAGCTTTTTGTTTGAAAAAACTTCAACATGTTTCACCGGTCAAAGGCATTTTACACCAAGTTTTATACATCAGTCTTGTTATAACAATGTACTGTCTTACTGAAGTAAGAATAAGAGCCTCCGGAAAAGGGCGCTTTTTCCGGAGGATCGGGGCCAGTCTTTTTTAAAAACCGGAAAAAAGCGGCGGACATTTTTATTTAAATGCCGCGGGGGATATTTAAATCCCCCGCGGATTTCCCTACGACGACTATTGAAATTTACATGCCCCTTCCGGAAGAGGGGCCAGTGTAGACGTAGCCGCACTGTTTTAATTACAGTTTTCAATCTTTATGATGGAGTTTGCATTTACTACTCCCCTTTCACTGCTAGCATTCGCCCAATCTGTTTTTGTGCAGGCAATTGTCCACCTTGATAATTTGTCATTTCTTTTTCGACATCAATTCGTCAGTTACCTAGTATTCTTTTAGGTTACATCTACACTGCAAGGTTTTTACAGAAAAACGACTGGTTTTGCGCAAAAACCTGCGGAGCATCCACAACTCAAATGCGTTTTTGTACAAGTAGATCAGCAGTAAAACGGAGAACAGAGGGCTTTTGCCGGTGTAGGTAAACCTCCTTCTACGAGGCATAACTCCCTTTTGCACTACAGTTATTGCGCAAAAAGGCAAGTGAGGACACTCCAGAAAGGTTTCTTGCACAAGAAACCCCTCTGGGAAAAAGCACAGGTGCTCTGATGGCCATTCTGTGAACTTTCCTGCACAAGAGCCTCCATGCAGTGTAAACATAGCCCTAGTGCCTAGTTTCTAGTACAAATTTCAACAGCTGGGAACTGGAAGACAGTTTGGTCATTTTATTCAACTAATATATTTTAAAAGGCTATTACAAGTGCATTTGATATTTTAACTTTCATTGCAATGCAAACAGAAATTGGAGTATTACTAAAGTCTTGTCTATACTACCATGGGCCATTGACCTAAATTATGCAACTTCATGTGTGTGAATAACGTAGCTGAAGTCGATGTACCTAGGTCAATTTACTGCAGTATCTTTACAGTGGTAAGTCAACAGCTGAAGCTCTCCCATCGACTTTGCTTACTCTTCTCGTTTTGGTGGAGCACCAGAGTTGACGGGTGAGCATTCAGCAGTTGATTTATCACATCTTTCGACCCCCGCGAGATAGATCTCCGACTTTTGATCCAGCAGGTAGTGAAGACAGGCCTTCAGAAAGCTTCATCACCTTTAGCCTATTTTTGCCACAGCTATCTCTATAGTGGCTACAGTTCAACTGAGTGGAAACTGGCCGTTTTGCATCTCAGCTACTTATGTCTTTAGGATTGCTCAAGGACAGGCACTTCTTAATTAATAAAAGGGCTGTCCTATCACCCTCTCTACCCATATAAAGGTCTGACCACACACCACCAGAGCTATTATTTAGGGTCATGGCCACAAGTCTTGGAGGAAAATAAGATTACCATGAACTAAGGACAATTTATTCCTGAATGTCAGCACACATGTAAGGGATTAACATGCTTTAACTTATGCACACAGACTTACTGTTTTTAGTTATTTGTCTTAACTTTCCTGAGGGTCTAGATATGGCCAAACATTTATATCCTGTAGCACTAGGTTGGGCCCTACTATACTAGGGAGTTGGTTTTTAAAAAAGGTGAAGTAACCAAAGCTTTAACTGCTGAAATTTAAAGTTAGGCTTGTTTATAAATGCTGATGTGTATTGTAAACATCTCTCAAGAAAAAAATAGCAATTTCTTTAGCTGAAATATTGCTCTGTGAAAGCTGCTAGGAAATAGCCAAGAGGAATACACATGACAAGGGACAAAGCGAAGCTATATTTTAAATGGGTAAAGAAGAACTTCTAAATCACACTGTAAATAACTTTTCCTATGAAACAGGTATCAGCTGTTACAAATGTCAGGGTATGTCTACACTTGCACCCTCTTTTGAGGGAGGGATGCAAATGAAGACATTCGAAATTGCAAATGAAGCTGGGATTTAAATATCCCACGCTTCATTTGCATAATCACATTATGGTGCTATTTCGAAATATAAAACACAGTGAAGATGCAGTTATTTTGGAAAAACACCCTTCTTCCAAAATAACTGCATCTTCACTGTGTTTTATATTTCGAAATAGCACCATAATGTGATTATGCAAATGAAGCGTGGGATATTTAAATCCCAACTTCATTTGCAATTTCGAAAGTCTTCATTTGCATCCCTCTATCGAAAGAGGGTGCAAGCATGTAGACATACCCTCAGATGTGGAAGAAGTTATTGCTCCACAAAAATCAACCACCTTATTGGGATCAAGGCCTGTACAATCTTTCTTTTTATTACTTTCTGGTTTTAAAGAAAAGGGAACTGCTACCTTTTTAACTCCTACTTCCAAGAACTAATCACTCAAGCAATGAACTTTTATGGTAACTAAATAAGGGCGACTTCACTTTGCTCTATAACAGAGAGGGGCAGTAAGCCAGAGCCATTCACCAGGGCTAGATACCCTGCACCTCTGCAGGTTCGGCTATTTGAAGTTCCCATTGATCCTGGATTGCCATTCCCAGCCCACGGGAGCTATGGGAAGTGGTGTGGACTGGCACACTGCTTCCCGCAGCTCCTGTTGGCCAGCAACAGCGTTGGGGGCGCAGGTAAATAAAGCGCTAGGGGCGAACCCTTGCAAACCATGGGTTGGTTATTGCCCACCACTGGTTGAGCATATAAACACAATGGCTACGTCTAGACTGGCATGATTTTCCGGAAATGCTTTTAACGGAAAAGATTTCCGTTAAGAGCATTTCTGGAACAGAGCGTCTAGATTTGCGGAAAAGCGTCCGTGCCAAAGCACTTTTTGTGAAAAGCGGCCGTACCAATCTAGACGCGCTTTTCCGCCAAAAAAGCCCTGATTGCCGTTTTCGCGATTGGGGCTTTTTTGCGGAAAACAAATCTGAGCTGTCTACACTGGCCCTTTTGCCCGAAGGGGCGCAGCAGGGCATGTCCGCAAGCAGCACTGACAAGCGGACAGGAGCGCGTGGGTGCTGCTGTGGAAATTCAAGCGGCCGGGGTAGGCAGCTGGCAAGTTTTTCCGGCAAAGCGGCTGATTTTCCGGACACACTGGGCGGCCCAGGCACAGCCGGGGCAGCCCCCTG